GGTATTAGGAGAGCAGAAGTGTGTAGGAGGTATTTCATTTTGTTAATCAGAACGAAAATTCGCCTTCGATCACGAAAATTCCGTTTTTAAGTCAAAAATCTCAATGTAGGTATTAGGAGAGCAGAAGCATGTAGGAGGTATTTGATTTTGTTAATCAGAACGAAAATTCGCTTTCGATCACGAAAATTCCGTTTTTAAGTCAAAAATCCCAATGCAGGTATTAGGAGAGCAGAAGCATGTAAGAGGTATTTGATTTCGTTAATCAGAACCAAAATTTGCTTTCGATCACGAAAATTCCGTTTCAAAGTCAAAATTCTCAATGTAGGTATCAGGAGAGCAGAAGTGTGTAGGAGGTATATTGTTGCATTTGCAACATCACGGAAATTCCTTTTTGTGAGAAAAAATCTCAATGTAGGTATTAGGAGAGCAGAAGCATGTTGGAGGTATTTGATTTCGTTAATCAGAACGAAAATTCGCTTTCGATCACGAAAATTCCGTTTTTAAGTCAAAAATCTCAATGTAGGTATTAGGAGAGCAGAAGCATGTAGGAGGTATTTGATTTTGTTAATCAGAACGAAAATTCGCTTTCGATCACGAAAATTCCGTTTTTAAGTCAAAAATCCCAATGCAGGTATTAGGAGAGCAGAAGCATGTAAGAGGTATTTGATTTCGTTAATCAGAACCAAAATTTGCTTTCGATCACGAAAATTCCGTTTCAAAGTCAAAATTCTCAATGTAGGTATCAGGAGAGCAGAAGTGTGTAGGAGGTATATTGTTGCATTTGCAACATCACGGAAATTCCTTTTTGTGAGAAAAAATCTCAATGTAGGTATTAGGAGAGCAGAAGCATGTTGGAGGTATTTGATTTCGTTAATCAGAACGAAAATTCGCTTTCGATCACGAAAATTCCGTTTTTAAGTCAAAAATCCCAATGCAGGTATCAGGAGAGCAGAAGCATGTAGGAGGTATTTGATTTCGTTAATCAGAACCAAAATTTGCTGTCGATCACGAAAATTGATTTTTTTAAGTCAAAAATCTCAATGTAGGTATCAGGAGAGCAGAAGCATGTAGGAGGTATTTGATTTCGTTAATCAGAACCAAAATTTGCTTTCGATCACGAAAATTCCGTTTTTAAGTCAAAAATCTCAATGTAGGTATCAGGAGAGCAGAAGCATGTAGGAGGTATTTGATTTCGTTAATCAGAACCAAAATTTGCTTTCGATCACGAAAATTCCGTTTCTAAGTCAAAAATCTCAATGTAGGTATCAGGAGAGCAGAAGTGTGTAGGAGGTATATTGTTGCATTTGCAACATCACGGAAATTCCTTTTTGTGAGAAAAAATCTAAATGTAGGTATTAGGAGAGCAGAAGCATGTTGGAGGATGTTAATCAGAACGAAAATTCGCTTTCGATCACGAAAATTCCGTTTTTAAGTCAAAAATCTCAATGTAGGTATCAGGAGAGCAGAAGCATGTAGGAGGTATTTGATTTCGTTAATCAGAACCAAAATTTGCTGTCGATCACGAAAATTAATTTTTTTAAGTCAAAAATCTCAATGTAGGTATTAGGAGAGCAGAAGCATGTAAGAGGTATTTCATTTTGTTAATCAGAACGAAAATTCGCCTTCGATCACGAAAATTTTAAGTCAAAAATCTCAATGTAGGTATCAGGAGAGCAGAAGCATGTAGGAGGTATTTGATTTCGTTAATCAGAACCAAAATTTGCTTTCGATCACGAAAATTCCGTTTCTAAGTCAAAAATCTCAATGTAGGTATCAGGAGAGCAGAAGTGTGTAGGAGGTATTTGATTTTGTTAATCAGAACGAAAATTCGCCTTCGATCACGAAAATTCCGTTTTTAAGTCAAAAATCTCAATGTAGGTATTAGGAGAGCAGAAGCATGTAGGAGGTATTTGATTTTGTTAATCAGAACGAAAATTCGCTTTCGATCACGAAAATTCCGTTTTTAAGTCAAAAATCCCAATGCAGGTATTAGGAGAGCAGAAGCATGTAAGAGGTATTTGATTTCGTTAATCAGAACCAAAATTTGCTTTCGATCACGAAAATTCCGTTTCAAAGTCAAAATTCTCAATGTAGGTATCAGGAGAGCAGAAGTGTGTAGGAGGTATATTGTTGCATTTGCAACATCACGGAAATTCCTTTTTGTAAAAAAAAATCTAAATGTAGGTATCAGGAGAGCAGAAGTGTGTAGGAGGTATTGGATTTCGTTAATCAGAACCAAAATTTGCTTTCGATCACGAAAATTCCGTTTTTCAGTCAAAAATCTCAATGTAGGTATCAGGAGAGCAGAAGTGTGTAGGAGGTATTTGATATCGTAAATCGGAACGAAAATTTGCTTTTGATCACGAAAATTACGATTTTATTTTTAGGCAAAATATAAAAGTGGGTATCAGGAGGGCAGAAGTATGTAGGGGGTGTTTTATTGCATTTATAAGCATCAAATTTTTAATCGATCATTAAAAATTACGATTATGAAGGCAAAATCGAACTGTTTGTATCAGGAGAGCAGAAGTGTGTAGGAGGTATAGTTTATCCAAAAACAATTGCAGAATCTTGTGCTGCACCTGCAGTTACTTCAAAGGAAACTTCAAACACGCCGACGCCGCACAGTGCGGGATATTCTGCAATTGATATTGGATATACTATATATTGTTGCATTTGCAACATCACGGAAATTCCTTTTTGTAAGAAAAAATCTAAATGTAGGTATCAGGAGAGCAGAAGTGTATAGGATGTATTTGGTATCGTAAATCAGAACGAAAATTTGCTTTTGATCACGAAAGTTCCGATTTTATTTTTAGGCAAAATATAAATGTGGGTATCAGGAGGGCAGAAGTGTGTAGGGGGTATTTTATTGCATTTATATGCACCGAATTTTTACTCGATCATTAAAAATTACGATTTTGAAAGCAAAATCGAACTGTTTGAATGAGGAGAGCAGAAGTGTGTAGGCGGTATTTGATTTCGTTAATCAGAACCAAAATTTGCTTTCGATCACGAAAATTTCGATTTTTATTGCAAAATATAAATAAGAGTATCAGGAAGGGCAGAAATGTGTAAGAGGTAGGTATTTAATTAATCAGTTATTATCCCTTGATCATTATTTCGATTTTGAAGGCAAAATCTAAATGTGGGTATCAGAGGAGAGCAGAGGTATATGTATCAGTAGATGTTGCGAGAGAACGAGCCCCCGGTATTCGTATCGTTACTATGGAGATGAAGATTGTAATGAGAAGAGATTAAACAATTTGTCAGAGTTGATGTATTAGTATCTGTTTCATTTTATAAAATAATTAAATAATATACAGTCCACAAATCGATAATTTACCAAAAGGCCTAAACAGCCCAGCAAACATCGAAAGGCGGTAGAAAGCCGGGCCCATGGCGAGAACGGTGGGCAAATGTCGATGTCGGCATGCCTCAAAAGGCCCTCCATATAATTTCTAAGGATTATGTGACGAAGGCAGAATGTACACATACTTATGATAGGCCTCTGTTTCCCAGCCGCTATTCTGCCGCTGTATGTATCCAAGTCCAAGGGCCATCAAAATTTCAACGGAGTGTGCCATCATCACTCACTCAGCGTTGGTATTCCTCGCTCGCGTGAGTTTTTATTTTGATCATTTTGCAGTGGTAACAATGATTCAGTATGGCGTATATTAATTTCTTTGTTCATGTATGTTGTTTCAACAGTCTCAACAGAGATTTTAGTACTGTGATCAGTTCGTGTTTGGTTTTTTTGTCGATTTTCATACAAAATGGAAGGGAATTGAAATGAATACAGAGTGAGTGAGGAACAAACATATAAACAAACTGGCACAGCTAAATAATTCTCCTATTCTAGATAATAATTTTACAAACACCATTGGACAAACAGATGCAATAATAGTTTGGACATGTTCAGCGGATACACAAGAATATATGAGGACTTTGAGGATGCATGAGCATTCATTGCATATGAATCATAAATCTATTTTCTAAACGAAAATCAAAGAGTACCTACTTGAAGAAACAGTTATATTTCAAGAATTACTGTAGGTATGTATAAGGTTGCATGTTTTGGATTAGTAGAGAATGAAATCATTCAATCTTTCAGCTACAAAATCAACAACCAGAAGCCCATGAATCACAGATATTAATAAAGAAATCACACAATGATCCAGACTATGATATGAATTTCTTCATGGTATATGATATCTCACTTCCAGGCAAGGTTCTCCATATCTGAAAATTGTTTTCTTGTGGATTGAACTCCATTGTTGACGATTACTTGATCAATATAACTATAACCTACATAACTTTCAAGTTATTCAGTATATGTACATAGGTGTTGTAATTTCTGACAAAGAGTTAGCAACTTCTTGAAACAAGTGGAATTATTGAAAATTTTAGGTACCTTTTTATAATGAGTATACAGAGTGATACGTAAAACTAGAATTGAGATGTTTGTTGTTTCCATAGTTGTGATATGTATTGGTTGTGGTCATGGCAATAATATACACACATGGATATTTTCAGTTCTTGTTTTTGTATGGGGTATTTATACTGCTAGTTTCCTGGAAATAACTGTGATATCAGGATGCTATCTCAGAGATTTTTATGCAATTATTCAACAACTTCAGGTAAGGAGTGAATTCCACATTTCTATTATACCCAGAGGATTCACAAAAAACTCGGAGACCTCAATTCTCTTTTTTGAAGTTTCACATTTTTCAACCAGTTCGAAAATGAAGAGAGTGATGAAGATCTGAGTGAAAATAAGATATTTTGCTTTTCAAGTGGTGATATAAACTGGGACACCTATCAAAAAACCTATTTTCACTGAGATATATGCATTACCCTGTATATTTTTTTGACAAACCTAGTTGAAAAATAGAACATCAAAAAACAGAATACCATGAATATTGAATTTATTCAACCCCGTTAACCAACGGCCCTGAAATACTCCTCTATCAGGGGAATAAAAATACTCAAGCGGCCAATTAATGGCATTCTCTGAAAAGTCTCAATCGGGCCGAAGATATGCCATGAATGCCGTACATTTGAGTTCTTGCTTCTGCCCACCAGAAGCCCTGCAATGTAATAAGCGGCATACTGATGGCTCCAGAGAGGCGGTCGGCTGTCGGCCGCCGGGACACGGGCTAGCCGGCCCAATATAGTTGTACAATAGAGGACCGCTGTTACCGCTCGCCGGCAAGTTTCATTGTACCTTTAGAGGGCCGCAAAAATCATGTTTGCTGGGAGTATAGATACTCCATTTCATTTAAAAGAATCGATTTTTGTTCACTCGATCATCAAAAACTCCTATTTTTGAGTCAAAATCTAAATGTTTGTATCAAAGGGGAGTAGAAATGTGTATGCGGTATTTCATGTAATTTATAATAAGAACCGAATTCTTCACTCAAAAATAAGAATGATTTTTCAATCTCCAAAATTTGAAAAAGAATTTCAATTCCTACTTCCTCTCCCTATCTAGGTACCGTTTCGTAAAAAGAGCATATATGTGTGACTTTTTTTAATTATTCGTCTTTCGACTTCTGTCATGCCAATGCATGTAGAATTTAAAATTTCTCTTTCTGGGAATATATGAACTCAAAATTTTATGATATTGATTTGTTGTATTGAAAATGATACAAAAAGTATGCATCACCCTGTACATCTTATTATATTCCCATTTGTAAAAATACAGTAACCTTCACATCCAAATTTTCTGTGATATTTGATTTCTTCATTTATCTGCATATCTATTTGTTATTTGCTTATCTCTCCACATATTATGTCCCCTAGTCTCTCTAATTAAAATTCACCAATCTCTGTGCCAAATATATTTTGTAATCGATTGCCATCAGGTAGGTACCTAATATAATCAGTATTTGAAAATGAAATCCCACTTCATCGAAGAGGTATGAATTTCAATATTACAATAACAGTATTAATTGTTTATGTTCATGTTTCCTTCTCGTAGGTACAGATGTTGATGGATATTCATCAACTTAAACAAACAGAAAATGAAATTCGAAAGTCCAACTACAGCTGGTTGTGCAGCAAAAAGAATTCGCTGGTCTACATGTCAACGAAACAGGAAATCAAAATACGGCATGGATTAACTAAGGTAAACATTCGTTGGTGAGACAAAATAAGATCGACAAAACTTTGGCCTCAAATTCATTAGCATATTTTGGAGTAAACATCCCCTATCAACGTTTGTTCGAGATAAAGTATGAGGATGTCAAAAGTACGAACAAATTAAGTTTTTTCTGTCACGGAAAAAAAGTTTGAAATGTCATCCCTGTTAACAGGTTATTACTTTTTTTCCCACGGGAAAAAAGTGAGTACTTTTATCCCGGATATACAGTCTGTCCATGATAAGGTTGCACAGCATGGGGATCTCGGAAACGGTAGGAGATACGAAGTAGGTTAAAGGGGGAAAAAGTTGCGCATTCGGAGGCTCATACCAACAGCCTTCGAAAAGTTTCAAAATTGTTGGTAGTTTTCCAGTTATATCGAAAAAAGTGAAATTTTGGAATATCTATATTTTTTTCTCCGTTATAATTAGAGATACAGAAACACTGAATATACTTTTTCATAGCAACTTCTGATGACGTTTAACGTGGTGATACCGATTTTTTTTATGCGACGTTTCGTATTCGTAGAACCATCATCAACTTTTGTTTTTCAAATACGGTCCTGATAATTCTTTCACAGATTCTGAAAGCTTTTTTTATTATGAATTCAACCATGTATTGAACAAGGTGGTTTGAATATGTTTCGGTCTATTTTTAGCCATCATCAATGTTTTTTTCGAAATTCCAAAAGAGAAATCCCATCAGTTTCACTTATTTCTGATTATTCAGTGTCAAACATTGATGGACAAGTTATTCAATACTGAAAAGTGAAAAAAAAATCCACTAAATTATTCAATGCAGCGCTTCGAATTGTTTATGAATTGTATTCATATTTTAATCCGAAGGAGCTTGTCATAATTAAATTTTTCGAACCAATTATTCCTATAAGTCTATCAATCGGAACTAGTTGATGAGGTATTAGTTTGTTGGCTAATTTTCCTTCAAAATAAGTGGAACTGATGGCATTTTTCCTTTGGAATTTCGAAAAAAACATTGATGATTTCTAAAAATAGTTCGAAACACATTCAAACCACCTTGTATAATACATGGTTAAATTCAGAATAAAAAAACCTTTCAGAATCTGTGAAAAAATTATCAGGACCGTATTTAAAAAACAAAAGTTGATGATGGTTCCACGAATACGAAACGTCGCATAAAAAAATCGGTATCACCACGTTAAACGTCATCAAAAGTTGCTATGAAAAAGTATTTTCAGTTTTTCTGTATCTCTAATAATAACGGAGAAAAAAAATAAAATAAATATTCCAAAAATTCACTTTTTTCGATATAACTCAAAAACTAAAAATAATTTTCAAAATCTTCGAAGGCTCTTGATATGAGCCTCCGAATGCGCAACTTTTTCCCCATTTAACCGACTTCGTATTTCCTACCGTTTCCGAGATCCCCATGCTGTGCAATCTTATCTTGGACAGGCTGATTCTCGGTGGATGGCACATATTAGACGTTTCTGGAGAACGCAACGTAGGATTATTATGATCATTTGATGCTTTGGATAATTAGTTGTGCTCTATCGACCTTAAATATTCTCAGCGCTGCGACGTTTGCTGATGCTTATACAGGGTGTTATTTAAGTACGTGGCCAAACTTGAAGGGGTGATTCTTTGAGTGATTCTAAGACGAAAAGTTCATATAAACATAGGTCCGGTAATGCTTCGTTTTCAAGATACAGGGTGTCAAAATTTTTAAAAGAAATCGTTTTTTTCGTAAATATCTTAATAACCCTTCAACCAATTTCATTGAAATTTGGCAGTGTTATTCAAGGTCGTGAAGGGCTAATTTAACCTTAACTATATCAAAATTATAATGTCCAGCGGCGTCCCGGAAGGCACTGTAACCAATATTTTTGACAGAAAAAATGTGCGCCACTGATTTTTTTGCAATTTTTGTTTTTTTTTTGACATTGAGCAACTAAAATTACAACTATGACAAGAATTTTTTTCGTATCTTGCTTTGTTTTTGAGAAAAAAACATAAAAATCACTTCATTGCACATCCCTGTGACAACACAATAAAACATTTCAACTACTAAACCATCAAAAACTGGGGTCTAACTAATATTTTTGATATAGTTAGGGTTGAATTAGCCCTTTACGGCCTTGAATAACACTGCCAAATTTCAATGAAATCGGTTGAAGGGTTATTAAGATATTTACAAAAAAAAATATTTCTTTTGAAAATTTTGACACCCTGTATCTTGAAAACGAAGCATTACCGGACTTATGTTTATATGAACTTTTCGTCTTAGAATCACTCAAAGAATCACCCCTTCAAGTTTGGCCACGTACTTAAATAACACCCTGTATAGAAAAGTAGCAACAACTTTGATTTTTTAAATGGGACACCCTGTATATTATTCCATTTTCAGATTCTTCCTAAAGAGCTGATTTCATCGATCTATTACACTTGGGGTCTAGCGGGAATGATAACAGAGATATTGGGTGTGAAAAATCGAGATTTTTCAACTTCAAGAATTTCTTGTGTCGAAACTATTCATAATTAGTCAACGGTTTTTATGTCTCTATCTCAACTTTTCCTGTACTATCAATTGATATTTAATTGAAATAGATACACTCCATATATTATTTTATCAGCATTATGCTTAAAAGTAGTACTTTCCATGGCGTGTTTAAAGTTTGGCAGACGAGCAGATGGAGATACAAATTGAATTTTCAACGCCATCTATTTTTTAAAAAACTACAAATTGAAATTCCATCAATTATTAATAATCCGAGAGAATACACTAATCATACCTTTTTGTCTAAACTGGCAACATTGTCGAGATCAATGTGTATAATTTGCCTTCATTCCGAATTCAACTGGTCATTACTGTCAGTAAATCCACTGACTGCTGAAAATATGTGTTCCTAAATATAAAATCAAAAATACAGTGCTGTAATTCGGAACACGTTTTCATGGTTTTCATCAGTAATCATCAGCAGTTGATCAGCTGGTGAAATTTAAATATTATATTATCAATTTATTATTGACTAGCAGACCTCGCGAACGACCAGATACCAAATTTGAATAAAGTCGGATCCTGATTACAAAGTCCGCCATTTTGGATCCGCCATCTTGAATTTCTTAATTTTGACGAAGAAATCATAATCCTCGATCACGAGAACTCCTAGGTACCAATTTTGAAAAGAATCGTATTATAATTACAAAACTCGTCCGCCATATTGGTTGAATTTCCAAATTCCGTCCGAATTTTCAAATTCTGACGAAAGAATCATAATCTCCCACCCCGGAAACCCCCAGATACCAATTTTGAATAGAATCGGACCATAAATTACAAAACTCGTCCGACATATTAGATCCGCCATCTTGAATTTCCTAATGGTACCGGGATAAAAAGTAACCTATAACCTTCTCCTGGTTCTAAGCTGCCTCCCCAGCACTTTTCAGCCAAATCGATCCAGTAGTTTCGGAGCCTTATCAATACATACAAACAAACAATCAAATCTTTCCTCTTTATAACCCAGGCAACCAGATGACGAATGATCACGTCACTGTGACGTCCCTTATTGGTGATTTACACACCAATTTATGACGTCACTATGACGTACTTTCTATGACGTGATAATCACGTCATCGTTTCGACGTCGAGTGAACGTCACTCAGAGGGGTAAAAGAAGACGTCAGTTTCATGACGTTGCAGGGACGTCCTGTCGACGTCCATTTTTTCCACACTTTCTCTGAACCTTGGATACTAATACAGTGTCAATCATAAAGTCGGCATCATATTGGAAAAACTTTTATTAATGACTTATTTTGAAATTCGAGTTGGACGTTAAGTTTTGTTTCAAACAAGATGAAAAATGGCCTACTCAATCGGGGTCACGTGACTTTCGCTACATGTCAAAAGTGAAATTTTTTCAAATTAATCGCTGAAAGTAGGCTTATTTGTTCGAATATCGAAAAAGTTTACTTGAAAAAGTTGTTTCTATTTAAATTTTACATATGTGACTCGGATTTTATCTTTCTATTACATTTTTTAGATTTCGATTTTTTTACTTTTGACATCTCGCCGACACAAACTACATAATTTTTAATACAAATACGAGTAACTGATTGCATTCTGATGGAGATGCGTACTGAAGGATGGCGCTGCTGAATAGGCGATTGAATCAACATGACACAGGAAGGGCCCACCAAGCAGACTCAATAATGCATAATCAATATTATATAATGTCATCAGAGGCTAGTAGTGTTAATCACACCATGTTAAAGGTTTTTTTTTACGTATCATCGCCAAATTCAATCGTCATTTTGACGTCATTATAACGTCAGTCAGACGTCACAGTTTGGTGAGTGAATGACGTCAATACGACGTGAGTAATATATGACGTGACTTATTCACGTCACCTTGGTCATTCAAGTGACGTAAAAAAGACGTCACTGTAACGTCATCTGGTTGCCTGGGAATATTAGCAGTATTAGCTTCCATTGCAGAAGTGGCAGAAGGAATTTTAATAAGAAATTTCAGAATTTCATAATGAAAACTATGTGAGATTACTATTTACCTGAAAAATCATATTTCTTCGTCTCTCGCTGCATTTTCTGTGTATTGTACAACATCACAATGAGAAGACATGCTTGAATTAATGAATCGCGCAAAAAACACGATTTGTATGCCAAATAATATTGTGAAAAACTATTTCAATCTTTTGATTCCTCTGTAAACAAATGAAAAAAGTGAGGTTATGTTTCAATCATTCTCAGAAGAGGGAAACTGTGTTTCAATATTTCACCTCCAGGGTGGTCATCGAAAATAGGAAAGGACAAAAGTTCAGCTGTGTCCGAACTCTTAGGTTTGGGGTGTTTTTTTCTCTGATATTGCTAAAAACCAACTGTGTTTCCAGATAACGGTCGACCAACAGGTGCAAACGATGAAACAACTGATGACGTGGCTGGAATCCAATCCAGACGTCGAAACCCACCGAATTCCTGAGACCACATTGCACCTCCTCGAAAATGCCATCACGACGAACATGATCGCCAGCGCGAATTTCTCCAGAACGGCCAGTTTCCGCAACAGCTTGAGAAGGCTGTCCTTGATGTCGAATAAGGTGGCGCCTTCGCAGAGCGGGAGCGATAAGACGAGGCGATTGGTCACCTTCAATGACGTGCCTGTCGTTTACAGGATTTCTTGATGGATCAATACTTGGTTCCAGTAACTCCTGTTATACCGTTTTCCACTCGCCGATTTGTCTTTATTGATTGTCTTTATTACCCCAAGAAACATAGTTGTTTATAAAATATAATGAAAACTCTCCAAGTCGTCTCCACAACGTTTATAATTTCATATTCAAGCAAGGGGGGGGCATGTTTCGGACCCAAACGGTATCCATCATCAGCCAGAAAAAAATTATTCTACAACCCAGCGAGCACAAAAACATCTCAGAGATGTCAAAAGTACGAGATTTCGAGACATTGAACCTCTACTGCGATGTTCTGTTCACACATGAATAGAACTATTATAGAACAGCCAATGTCCGCCGCAGGCGGCAATTATCGAGATGTCCTTGATATGTCACAAAACTATACCTTCTCCCTAGTTCTTTTTAAAGCCTTTTCATGGACACAAGAAAACATTTTCAACGCGTCTTGCGCACATTAAATCGCTGTAAAAAAACCATTTTCGAGGTACTTTTCTAAAGCCTTATTTTGTCAAAATGAACTTTTGCATTAGGATTCCATATCCCTTGAATGAAAAAATGCATTAAAAATAGATTGAACATAAAAATATTTTCTTGATATGAAATTACCTTCTTAATCGGTTTCTGAGTAGTGCTTACTACACACAGACATATAATTGGAAATAGGTTTCCCAATTTTTGAAATGTTCTCCACAACTGCGGAGAAGTTGTGTATTGATAAATTCGTACTTTTATATATTGATTACACTGAGGCACCGAACAATACATCTTGCACCTGATGGTCATCATTACAAACTAAATAAGTCTTCTAACACAATAAACTTCACCAAATTCCTTTCTGTTCGTTAGCAGCGTGATGTAAGCGTGAGACGCTGCAAACGCGAATGCCAATTGCGAACAAGAAGAACAAAATCGAAAACAAATCAGAATTGATCGTATTGTGACGTAAGCATGAGACGTTGTGGTGGGGCAAACAAAGAAAGGGCACAAAAGAACAAAAACAATACTTTCAATATCCTTCTAAGACCTCTTTGGGAAGTGCATATTACGCCTCAAAAAAACATCCTCATGCCTACATTTCTAAAACATCCCAAAACATCCCAGGGATACCTCTCAGTAGGCAAACAAAGAAATGCCACAGAAGAACAAAAACAATACTTCAATATCCTTCAAAGACCTCTTTGGTCAGTGCATATTACGTCTCAAAATATCATCTTCATGCCAACATTTTCAAAACATCCCAAAACATCCCAGGGATGTTTGTGCTTGCTGGGAAAGAACAACGAAACAATAAGTAGTGAAACAAATTGGTACTCACGTAGAGAAGAAAAAAGCAAAAAAATGGTTATGAGCATGGTAAAACGGTTTAAAAATATGTTTAGAGTTTTAAATAATTTGAAATGAAGTAACAGGTATCATTATTTGGGGCTTTGTACCCAAGATATTTGCTCAACGACCCCGTACATTACGTAGTAGCAAGCAATCACAGAATGATTGAAAAAATCCGACAGAAAGATGCTGATAATATTGAATAACAAATATTGATAAAAATCAATCGATTTCTCATATGAGGCCTGTTCGCCAATGCTTGCTCCACCTGCCGAACTCGATTTCCCTCCATAACTCTCTCTGTTTACATCATGCCGTGAACAGAGACAACTATGGAAAAAATATCAACCTCAGCAAGTCCAGCAATACAATCTCATATCTCAAAGATGTCGAGTCAAAATCCACAACCGACAGCTGAAGTTTTTGACGTTGGCTGTCGGTTGTGGATTTTGACTTGACATATTTGAGATATTAGATGTTGTTCGTTTGTGTTGCTGGACTTGCTTAGGGTCCCTTGATGTAAATTGACGTATTTGTTTATACTAAATCTTCCTAAGTATTTATTTAAACTGCCTTTTTAATAGATCGGCAAACTCTAGATTTTTTTATTAGTTTCTCGGGAAACTAATTCATTAACTTCTTGATAGTTTCTCATGATCAATAGGGTTTGATTTGTTTAGGTTACAAGAATGAAACTTCATGGCATCTAATAAAATGCTCAATAATTAAAAAGGCAGTTTAAATAAATACTTAGGAAGATTTAGTATAAACAACATGTAGATTTGGCAACGTTGTAAATGGTATTTTTAGGTCAGACTTGCTGAAAACTTCCTTATAAATTAATTTTTATTGTCATATCGCCACGATTTCTCGAAATATTGAAATTTTGTGATATTTTTTGACGAAATGTTCATTTGTCATATTAACAAAAATGAAGGGAATACAAATTTGATATTATAGGGTCATAGTAGTTTTGAGACGACAAATTGAATGCGCTAAAAATAAACATAGCATTACATTCAAAAAAATAAAGTTGAGGGCTCTATGGGAAAAACTGTGAAACTGGCAACGTTGCAAATATCATTTTTAGATCCGGCACAACTGATTACCCCCGTATACCAAATTTCATAATTTTATGTCAAGCCGTTGCTGAAATATTCGGCCGTTCCGGTTCTTTTGGGAAACCCTGTATGTTATATGTAGGTATAATCTTTTAAATGGTAGGGATAATTATAGGCACATTGAGAAAGTATAATATGTGATTTCGTATTAGTTTCACCTCGAATATTTTGCTGATCTATTTACCAATTTTCCCCATTCGGTCACTGGTCACTTCACTTTCCATGTTCTAAGTTCATTTGCATTTGATGGAAAGCTGACAAATTCAAATTTGCCATCCAACTGATTGATACAGCCTACAGCAGCACATTTTACCATCCTTCCAAAACAGAATTGAATAAGGTCGTATCAAGATCAAGTATGAAATTAAAAAACCTATGAATGTGACGTGACAGCAATGTCATGTCAGGGACGCCAATACACAAAACCAAAGTCACTAGATGATTGAAAGAGAAAGGAGCTATGATCTGTCCGTACCGATGACAAATACGTCAGTTTGCATCAAGGGACTAACCAAACCTAGCTTGCCAGTAACCTTGTAGCACGCCCCGAAATTATGGTATTGTGAGCGCTACTGTGTTCCGAGAATCGTAGTGCGCGGTCACGTGTACTTGAGTCCTTGTGGAGGGAATGGGTATGGTGACGACATTCGAGGCATCTAATATATAGAGACAAAGTATCAATGAGGTCGGCAGCAACATTTTTCGTTAGCCTATATAATTTAATGAAATTCTCTCCACTTTCATCAAATCCATTATCATGAACACGAAATCTTCTAGGATTGTTGAGAAGTTCAGCATTTTCAAGGGCTTCAATACCAGCTATTCTCATCAACAGAATTATATGGGTAAACAATTGAAGCTAGCACAAAAAATGAACAAATGAAGCAGTAGTGCACTGAGAATCAAAGAAAAACGTCACATAACCTAGTTTTCTGTTAACACATCAATTTCGTATACACTTACCCCATACGCGTCAATCATACGGCACAACAGTCGACGATTGGAGAATGAGGATTTATAGGATTCATACGCAATATGTCATGTATAAACTCGAGAAAACCGCCACAGGAGATTGTTGGGGCAGTTGGCCGTAGTAGAGAGCCGTAAGCACAGCTTGTTCAGTTGTGCAGGCCAAGTGCGAGTGCTTGAGGCAATGTAAAAGGCTATTAAAATGAAATAATGATCATTGTCGAACAGTAAGGTTTATGGCATCCCAACCAAACCAAGTATCTGTTCAGGCAAGTTCAGGATAAAGTTGGTTGAGAAGTGGCTTCACTGAATGTTGCTAATAATGAATAGTCGCTGTTCCTGTCCGCCATTTATCCACGAGACTTCGAAAAAGACTGTAAGTATCTTCCAATTTGTGCATGTGAACAGATGTGAAGAACTGATTAACGTCGAACTCAATTTCGCAATTTGGGTATCGGTTTATTATACAAAGGGCTGCGTAAGATCGTTGGTTGTACCTAGTTTTAGTATGTACTCACTAACCTATAAGGTTACCATTGTGATGGGTATTGAATAGAGTAGTTGTTGTAAAAGTTGCTTGCTATTATTTTCATTCCACACTACAAAGAATCCCGTTTTATTCCATGAGAGTTTTAGAACCTCTAAGATTGAACGTTACAACTGACAAAATGATTTGGGGCTCGAAGGGTTTGTGAGTTTTTGTCTCAAACTAAACAGCAACAACGATAAAACAAAATTATATTAAGATGTACGAAATGTCCCAATGTACAATGAGGTAATACGGAAATTTCCCGAACCGAGTAAAACTAGTACGAACAATTAAAAAAAAACTTGTAGCAGCCATCGACCATCACCTCTGCATCCTCTTCATCTTCCTCTCCATCTTCTTCTGCTTCTTCTCGTTGACCTGCGGCTCTGCATTTTCGCCGCCCGACTGGAAGAAGTAGGGCTGCAGCAGGCTGCGCCAGGCTATCCAGGCCCCTCTGGCGGGCGCCAGCAGCCACAGCAGCCAGAAGTAGTTGGATATGACGGCGGAGAGGACCTGGCATCCCGCCGTCAGGATTATTATGTCTTTGATGTGCCTGCATAAGTCGAATTCGTATTCAATTTGTCATTGTCCTAATTCGCGATGAAAATATAAGCGTACGCTACCTGGCGGCATGTTTGAAAGATGCCAAAGCGGTCTGTTTTAGTCATATATCTACTATGTCTATACATGAAGCATAGCTGTCTTCAAAGCGGGACCAACTTCTGTCTCTATAGGTAACGAAATCGACCAATAGGCGTTGATGCCGACGTAGGGAACAAATAATAAGAAACTTGTTAAACCAATATGGCTACGAATTTCAAATGTACCTACCATCCTTCACTTTTCGTCCTTATAGATTCAAAAAGTACTTCTCATTTTGGTCTCATAGACGATGCGCCATATTATATAGAAATAGTACATATATGGTTTTAGTATATTATTATACAAGTTATATGAGATACCATTTTTTCGCATGCCTTGAATGGATTACGACTAGCAAACGAGGAGTGTTTAAAAAAAACTAGTGCGTCAATATGTCATCAAACGTGTGTAATATACTATTTTTTCTATTTTCAAATATTAGAAATAATATTTGAAGGAAGAAGTTGGTAATAATTTGATAGTGAGAGTACATTTGAATGTATATTCTGGAATCACAAAAAGCATCGTGTTATTCAAAAACATTGACGTTACCATTACCAACTTTGAAAGAAGAAATTCAGCGTGTTCTGATAGAAGTCTTTGAGTTCTGTGGTTTCCATACGCATTTGGGTGTCATAATGACTCCATGGAAGATGCAAAATAGAAAAACTATGTTTAATTTGTTTACATTTGGTTTTTGATTGTGTTATTCTATATCGTGAATGAGGGCTAACATTACTAGAGAGTTGAAGTGTCGCCATGAACGTAAACGTAGAAATTCGCGTTGATAATGCGCTTATGGGTGTACGTTATCTCACGTACTTACACGCATACCTTAAATATCAACGTACGTTAACCAAACTATACTCGAAATATGCCGATGAGTCAAAACTATCAAATTTGGGATCCCCAAGGAGTCGTCTCATTTCATTACGAATAAATGTTCAGATCTGAACAAACAACAAAAAATGAGCAATACAAACCGAAAATATAATTTATTACGTTACGTAGACAGTGACGACTTCAACTCAATTTAAAGACAATACATGAACGTTATTTTCCATACGTTAACGTCCACGTGGAAGTCTATGTACAGTGATTACTTCAACTCTTATTTATTGTCCACCTGATCGTGCTACTGAAGCGTGATGTCAGAGTTGGTAGAACTGATGAATATACTTTTACTTTTCGTGTTATTTGACCTCTTCCTAAGATATCTTCTTCTCCGTCAATTCAAGAATTGGTCGTCAAGTTCAACATTGAGAGCAAAAAAAAACGGAAGTCTGCTCAAGTCTTTCCATAACTTGAGGTTTCCTAATCAGATATTCTACATCATTCGTTTTGGCATATTTTCGATAAAACAGGCCATAGCCTTTAGAGCTATCAGGCAAACTTTTGGTATTTTTGACACTAACCTCACTCGAGTGACTTTATAAACAGATTGGCGTCAATAGTGATGCACTTTTTGATTGGTCAGACCTCAATATGGAAGAGTATCCACCTGTCTTGTTTTCTCCATTCAGTTCTACACATTCTATTTCACTTTGTCAATGCATTGTCTCTGTTTTTTGCTCTTTGAACAGATAATATCCAACAATCAGACATGAAACTCGATACGTCAGTGCCTAACTATTAGAATCCGTCTTTTGGGACTCGCAACTCACAGATTATTCAGATGATGAAATGGAACTACTAAATATCTGAACTTAACATCAGGTGGGCACTTCAAAGGCGCAAATTCATTACATATGCCACATAAATGAGAGTTATTGATTGGTGACCGGTTGCGACACTTCGACCACAGGGTTTTTTTATTGATGATTGCATTGACCGAACTCCACATAGTAACGTTTTTCATTGGAGAGCAAGACAGACAGATCCAAAGTCGTCTGGGCATGTTGAAAAATCAAATGACATATAAAAGAGATGATTTCTGGGATGTCAGGTTATGTGCTATTTTATAGATTCATCAGTGAAGTTGATCGTTTCTGAGGATTTTGTACGTACGAGCGACCGATCGGCACCCAAACTCTACAGGGTGCCCACTTTTCGAGTTCCACCATGTCTGTACGTGTGACTATAGATGGCAGCGCCATACAGTGTGTGTCGCGATTTCTGAATCCTACCTTAGAGCTTTACCACTAGATGGCTACAACATTACTATAACTTCATGTTATACCCTGCATCTTCGAAATGCGTGATATACCCGAAGCGTAGAGTTGTCCCAGTTGTCAGCAGACCGAGAGCGGCTGATGAGACCTGGTGGGTCGAAACAGTACTGTCTCGCTCCTGCTGACAATTGGGGCCACTCTGTTCATCCTAGATCTCTTAGTTATGATATCTAGCAGTTGAAAATTATGAATTTTCGTTTTCTTCCAATAATTCGAAAACTAAAAATGACACACCAAATTTTCTTGCAGATAAATGTTCAGTATGAAAATGCGCAACTTTGCCCTGATTCAATCGACCTCATATCTCTTATAATAACTGAGATCCCCATGGGGAGCTCGAAAAACGGACATCCTGTATAACCGCGGTGGTCTGTTTGTTATGTTTTCATTGGTTTACATTCGTTTTTCGGTTGTGCTTATTGGTCATATACATCAAAACGTTTAATGCTCTCCTCTATGCGTCGGGCATCAAACTTCACACGCAGGAGGAACACTTTTAACAGATTTCTTTCATGACAGAAAACGGCACTTACACACTGCTTGCATCAGAAACAATAATATCATAACATTCATAACATAACCTCAAATCAAATAATGAGGTTAAATTTGAAAGTACAAAACTGTAATTTTGGGGAATTTTAATTATCATCAGTTCTACCAACCTTGAATTTTGGTTGAGATTTCGCCACCTAACGGGTAAAATGCGACCTATATTCCGAGATATTGAAAAGAATCCTTCTGCCAAGTAGGCCTTAGGTCTAGAACTTTGACCAAAAAACAGTAGATGGGATTTGGATAGTTTCTACACCATCTTCTGTTCATCTTGCTATCAATAAACACATTTATGATAGTTGTTTATATACCCTTGTGAATAACAGATAAAAAATATTTATAAGTTCCATAAAGAGCATTGTGATTTTCTGTGATCCATGAACAGAAATTCAAGGGATTGTGTTTTTCTCAATTGTAGATAATTTGATTGTTGTTATATTTATTTAAAAAATCTTTGATACTCACTCAGCAATTCCTCCCTCCATGTTCAAATCCACACCACTATCTAGCAGCTGGCCAGACTCTGTATGTTTGGGTCTTGCCATGTAATTCATAAATTGGTAACAACCTATGTATACTAGACATGAAAAAAAGTACAGAACCTGAAAATTAACTGTTAAACTATCTGGACCATGTATGATTCAATTTAGAATGATGGTAAAAGTGCACTTATCATTTAATTTTTTGGTAAAACTGCATTTATCATGTGATGGTTTTTTTTTGAAAATTTTTGTTTGGTACTTACGTATTTTTGTCTGAAAAACACAAATTTGATAATGAAAATGTGAACAAACCACTATTCATTGAGATATTTCAAGAAAAAGTTCGAAATTTCGCTTTCTTTCTCCCCTTGTGTTGGGGGCATTTAAAGCTACTTGCTTTTCTTATTTTGTCATTGGACACTTTATACAGTGTGTCCCACTTACCGTGCTCACCATGGGTATCTTTTTAACGGTGAGAGATACGAGGTCGGTTAAATGACACCAAATGTGGAGTTTGTCAAGGCCAACTATAATGTGAACAAATATTTTAATAAAATCTATTCGTTTTTGTTGTATACGCAAAAAACAGATTTTGATCATTTTCATGTCTCCTCCATAACTTCTTTATTTATGAAAATATTCAAATAGGAATTTCACATTCTCATGGCAGTTTTTCAAAGTGATTTCGAAAAAAATATGGAATTTATACCAACTCTTCTAGTATTTGAGATATCAGCACCAACTTTAGTTTTTCAAATGTATGTCATAACTCACTATGACTTAGTTACGAATAACTTTTTTTTCTCTTACAGATGATATGTCGCAGTAATAGTTTTGTGTTGATAACAACGGAGTTATCGTGATTTATACAAAAACAAGAAATTATTTGGAAGCCGCCATCTTGAATTCATGAATTTAAACAAAAAAATCATAATCTCCGACCTCCAAAACCCCCACTTACCAATTTTGAATGGAATCGGACCAAATCTTGTCCGCCATCTTGGAGCAGCCATTTTTTTTAATTTCAACAAAAATTCCATAACTCCGACTAACTTGAAGTTTGGCAGGTGTTCATAATTTCGGTGACAATACATTATGGAATTTCTGTTGAAATTAAAAAAAAAATGGCTACTACAAGATGGCGGAAAAGATTTGGTCAGATTCCATTCAAAATTGGTAAGTGGGGGTTTTTAAGGTCGGAGATCATGTTTCTTTGTTAAAATTTATAAATTCAAGATGGTGGCTTCCAAATAATTTTTTGTTTTTGTATAAATGACGATAACTCTGTTGTTATCAACACAAAACTATTACTGCGACATACCATCTGTAAGAGAAAAAAAAGTTATTTGTAACTAAGTCATAGCGAGCTATGACCTACATTTGGAAAACTAAAGTTGGTGCTGATATCTCAAATTCTAGAAGAGTTGGTATAAATTTCATATTTTTTTCGAAATCACTTTGAAAAACTGCCATGAGAATGTGAAATTCCTATTTGAATATTTCCATAAATAAAGAAGTTATGGAGAAAACATGAAAATGATCAAAATCTGTTTCTTGCCTATAAAACGAAAATGAAGATTTTATCAAAATATTTTTCCACATCATAGTTGGCCTTGACAAACTCCACATTTGGTGTCATTTAACAGACCTCGTATCTCTCAGCGTTGAAAAGATACCCATGGTGAGCATGGTAAGTGGGACACACTGTATACTCATGATGTACTTGGATGACACAGTTTTATATAGAAAATTCAACAGGAAATATGATTTTTATGGTGAGTTTTTCATATTTAGTGAACAAGCATTCCAGATGAAGGCCATTTATGGTCAGTTCATAGAAATAACTTATATTTAATTTTAACTTATCTTAAGAGTTCAAGCATTCCTTTCATTAAGATGCATTCATAGAATCTCATTTGACAAATATTTAATTTAGTCCATTCCTTATGGGAAATAGAGCTGTTAAATTAAATTAAATATAAATTGAATATAAATGAGATTCTATGAACTGACCATTAATCAATAGTCAATCAAAATACAAGATGTCAAAAGTCAATAGATTGCTTTGGAATGACCTCGGGAATGACATTACACACGCCATTATTTTAAATGATATTCTTCCTTCTTTTCACTAAATATGGATAAATCTCAAGAAAATCATATTTATATATAGTTGAATCATATAATAGAAAAAAATGTGTCATACATTGTGATATATATAAATTGTCCAATATGATGAAAGAAGAAGGGAAAACTGTTCTAAATGCCATCCAGAAGACAAGCAAAAAAGAAGGTGAAATTTGTAACTCTATAGTCAAATATCTCAATAAATAATGGTTTGTTCACATTTTCATTATCAAATTCATGTTTTTCAGACAAAAATACATAAGTACCAAAAACATTTTTCAAAAAAAAACCCATCACATGATAAATGCAGTTTTACCGATTTTTTTTTTGCACTTATGTATATTTGTCTGAAAAACCCAAATTTATAATGAAAATGTGAACAAACTGCTATTTATCCAGATATTTTAGGAAAAAGTTCAATATTTCACCTTCTTTTGCCACTCATCTTGGATATTCATTTACAACTACTTGTTCTTTTTCCATCACTGGACACTTCAATATAACACATTTTATTTTCTAAAATCAACAAGGAGTATGGTTTATTTGGATTTTTTTCTTTATATGCAAGTAAGGTAAACAATAAACAATAGTTGGGTTTCATGCAATATTTTTTTTACATTTGACCTTTATATTGAGATGACTAGATTTGATAATTGAATGGCCATTGGTGTGTGTCCTGCAAGGATTATAAACTCTCTTGTGTGTCCTGGTGTGAATGTTTACCTCAATAAAATATGGAAATATTACCAATAAACCATACTTCTTGATGATTTTAGGAAATAAAATGTGTTATTGAAGTACAGCATGAGTATATAATAGAAATAATAGTTATTTATTATACAAGGGAAAAAAGTAGTAGATTTTAGCTCCAGGTTGTGTTGTCTCCCGACGCGTAGCGGAGGGAGACAAAAAACCGTGAGCTAAAATCTAATATTTTTCCCGTGTATAATACACTATTTTTTTCTGTGACAGAAGAAAGGACGAATCAATATTGAGAAGATATTACATTATTTCGAAATCTGAAAATCAGCGACGTGAAATTTCAAGTTTTTAACAGTAGGGACACCTGCGTTTTATAGACATCTTTATCATTCTTTTGAAGTAATCAAATATCTGATGTCACTTCTGTCAGTTCAATTCTGTGATTTTATTTTAAAAAATTGCGAATTCAGTAGTTGTTTAGTAATATACCAAACCGCGAAGTCGAATGGAAGATAAAAAGACTTGTATTTCTTTCTGGGAGACGGTATTATTGACTCATTTTTCGGAAATATAGCACAACAAAAGCCATTAACAGAGTATATATATGTGATATATATCCGGGAAAGAAGTACTCACTTTTTTCCCACGGGAAAAAAGTAATTTATGAAAAGTGACATTTTATAACCTGCCAACAGAGATGAAATGCCATACTTTTTTCCCGTCACAGAAAAAAAACATTTATTGATCCCAAGAAACAATGTTCATAAAGGAAAACAAAAAAAAAATTGATGGAAAAAGAAAGACAAGTAGTTGTAAATGAATATCCAAGATGGGTGGCAAAAAAGGTGAAATTTTGAACTTTTTCATAAAATATCTTGATAAATAGTGGTTTGTTCACATTTTCATTGTGAAATTCTTGTTTTTCAGATGAAAATACATAGTTACCAAACAAAATTTTGTGCACTTTTAAGAATGATGAATGAAAAATGGAAATTGATTCAAGGAACTTAGGAAGGACTCCTCAACTTACAAAACTTATTGTTGATTGATAGAACACCAGGATAATCAATGAAGAGGCATTGGCCCCAATTGCCATGTTCCTATAGAAGTTCAAAGTTGATACATTCTCCTCCACTATTTGTTTGGAACCCTTGGTACCCTGTTTACCTTTTTGAGGGGGCTGAAACATATGGATGATTGAACAAGGTTTTCTGAAAGGAACCTTCAGCCAAGACGATACTTACAGCCATATTTGCTTAGGAATTATTTCAGTTTATTAAAATACGAACAGTTTTGTGCCAATATTCTGGTTTAAATTCTCAACCTCTCATTATCATCTTATCTTTCCACTCAACAGTGATTTGATGATGCAGATGATAAACATAGCACATAACCACAAATTAAAACATCAAAGCAGAGCTTATCAAGGTACTCTATTAACTGATGAGAAATTGAACGCAGAAGCTAGCTGCCACTTTCACGAATTACAAAAGTAAGAACGAGAATTCTCTGCCATAATACGGGAGGATCGCGCCAGTGTCTTTAATAATGTATGATGGCTGTCAGATGTTTATCTACGAGCGTCTCGGGCCAGGAAGGGACCATGGGTGTCGGCTTCATTTAAGAGATGGGTAAAGATAAACGTTATGAGTGACCTGATTCATTGATTCAACATTTTCGTTCATAATCGAGCTCTATTTGAGAAATTTCGATGTATAGATAATAAAAACTACTTCATTCATAACCTGTCAAAATGAAGCCAACTGCCATCGACAATCCTACTCCGAGACGCCGAATTTTTCATGCACATGATGATTGAGGCAGTTCTAAAAACCATCGTTGCATGGAGGACGGGTATCTATTATTTTTTTAGATAAAATCGTATTGTTATTTTTGTTCCAAAACCAGTTTTATTGTCTCAATGTATTAAATTGGCATCTCGACTGTTCTCTATCAAATAAATGACAACATTTTTTCAAGTACGTCAGGTCGATAAATATCACAAGAACAATAATTGAGAAAAATCTTCAATAGGTACACCATACAGTGCGTAAATATAGAACAGTATGAGGCAAGAGAATGTTTCAAATGAGTTTTGTTTCCATTTCAATAAAAAAAATTAAAAAATCTTACATTTCATCCAACAGTCTAGCAGTAAAAATACATATTTTATTTACAATATAAACTTCCGAATACTTATATAGAAATAAAGAAATATAAAAAAATTATGCATTAGAAGTTAATTGCTAGTAATTCAGCTTCTGAACCTGGGACGATCTGTCAATGATTTAGTTGGAGTCTTTGTTGTACCTGAAATGAAGCACATTCTGTCATTACAAATTTCATATACATACAGTGTCATTCATGAAGTCAGCTTTATATGGAAAAAACTTGATGATGATGCCAACTTTATGAATGACACTGTATACAGGTTGTTCAAAAAATCCATCCATTTCAAGTAGTGTTCTCTTGAAATGGATAGACGATTAACAGATTTCATTTCACACCTCGAAATGCAGAGTTGGATTTGACAGTCACCAGAGCCCTCGCTGCTGTCATCGTGTTCTTTTCGAATGGTCTGCGGAAGCCCATGTTCTCTCTCCTCTGATTGGCCAATCTCTTGACGGGCTGCACCTTCATCGCTGAAAGAGAAAAACACACTGACTGTATATTAAAATCGTTTTCATTTCTCAACAACGATTTCAGAGCCGATGAGTCGGAATAATGGGGAAGTTTCCTTCAGATGAATTTCCATAAAATTAGTTCAGAACTCCGCAGTTTTATGTCCACGCTATACTAATGGCGAACGATAAAGTCCAGTCGTTTTTATTTTCAAAATAAATTAAAAGTAAAAAAAAATTCTTTTTTCTGTGACGGGAAAAAAGTTTGGCATATCATCTCTGTTGGCAGAATATAAAATGTCACTTTTCATAAATTACTTTTTTCCCGTGTGAAAAAGGTGAGTACTTTTTTCCTGGATATATATCACATATATATACACTGTTGATGGCTTTTCTTGTGCTATAGTCCCGAAAAATGAGTCAATAATACCGTCTCCGAGAAAGAACTGCAAGTCCTTTTATCTTCCATTCGACTTAGCGGTTACGTATATTACTAAACAACCACTAAATTCGCAATTTTTCGAAGACAAATCACAGAATTAGACTGACAGAAGCGACATCACAGATATTTGATTACTTCAAAAGAATGATAAAGATGCCTACAACGCAGGTGTCCCTACTGTTAAAAACTTAAAATTTCACGTCGATAATAATTTTCAGATTTCAAAATAATGTAATATCTTCTCAATATTGATTCGTCTCTTCTTCTGTTACAGAAAAAAATAGTGTATTATACACGGGAAAAATATTAGATTTTAGCTCACGGTTTTTTGTCTCCCTCCGCTAACACAACCTGGAGCTTAAATCTACAACTTTTTTCCCTTGTATAATAAATAACTATTTATTGAGTTTTTTTACTTTTAATTTATTTTTCAATTCTTAGTTATCGCTGGCTAGATTTCAGACATACTTAGTGCGTCATACTGGATTTTGAGTGATGTTACATCATTTCTAATTATTCTCGGAAAGCTCCTTCATTCATTTGATACCCATATAGCAGAAGTTCATGAATAACAACTATACTGCCATCTTGGATGTTCCGCCATATTGGATTTAGAATAACGTTACATTATTTTTCGAGTTGCTATCAACGAGCCTATTCATTTGATACCCATATTGTAGCAGTGCATTAAAAATAACTATTACGCCATCATGCATGGTCCGCCATATTGGATTTGAAATGACGTCACATTATTTTTCGAGTTACTCTTAACAAGTCCTTTCATTTGATACCCATATTGCGGAAATGCATTGGAAATAACTATTTCGCCATATTGAATGGTCCGCCATATTGGATTCAGAATGACGTCACATTATTTTTCGAGTTACTTCCAACGAGCCCTTTCATTTGATACCCATATTGTAGAAGTGCATTGAAAATAACTACTCCCCCATTTCGGATGGTCCGCCATATTAGATTTAAAATATCTTCACACACCTTAACGTGCATTGTCATCCAAACTAAACGTGTATACTAAATTTCAGCTCAATCGGTTGAAGATATCTACTTCAAAATTGAGTTCAACGATTCCACCCGAACTTACCTACATACATACATCCATACATTGCGAGTTAAATAATAGTATATTATGTAACAAGTGTTATAAACGTAATTTTAGTAACGAGTATTTCAAGTACGAGCGGAGCGAGTGTTTAATAAACGAGTGTCTAGAAGAGTTTATAAACGCGTTACATACTATGATTTTTCTACGACCTCCGAAAATTACATTAACCTAACCTGCAATTCCTGCTAACCTACAAATTAATTCAAAAGGAATAGAAATTGAGAACATAATACATGCACATACACATGATAGATGCGCCCCGTCCATTGCTTACTAACCTTTGTTTCACGTTAATTGTCATGCTTAGCGCAGAATAAATAAATTGTTCTCAAAGATGGATGCTTCATTTTTACACTTCTTGGAGATATGCAAGTACCAAAAGATTCTCTTCGATTTCACTTTCGTCTACATTTCGCATATATTTTTAATGAAGAATTCTGATACAAACGATAATATTGTTTGAATAATTCTGATACAAAATTCGAAAATAACAGTTGACAGTTAATACAATTGACAGACCAGACATGTCTCAAATTATTGAAGCTGTGTTTAATGAACTGAGTTTTCCAAGTTAATGTGTTTAAGAAATCGTGATGATGATGATGATGATGAATATTTCGAACATATCGACATATCGTGATTAATCGATCATTTAGCGTGGTACATATCCGTACGCTAAATGCCATTTAGTTATGTGAGTAGAGAAAAGGTTTCAAAATGAAGCAATTCGAAATTTTCAGGGCTGCAAATTGTAACGTACATTCTGATCACCTAATTAACAAAACAACTATAAGCAGTATAAACTGTAGACATTGGCTAACGAATAAATGGAGACCAAAAATCGACACAAAAGTGAATCTAGTAAACAAAACAGGGCGGATAATCCAGGAATGAATTCGACTGAAGCGCTCTCTGGTGCCTGTCTATGTACAGGGTGATTGTTTATATTTTACTCAATAACTATCTTAGCTAATATTTAAATGAATTCGTTCCTCTATGAAACGGTTCTATTTTCTAGGAAATATGCAGATTATATCATGCAACCGGCACAAAATACTGACAGGCACACCGAAAGCTGAACTGATTTTGTGGTTATGTATCGTACTACTCTGTGTGAATCTGACTTTTTATAAAGTACGCCATCGGAATGGTAAAAGGGCCAAGTTTCTTTTTCATCAATTTTTTTCTGAAGTGAAATTTGATCTTACGAAAAAAAAAACGTTTGTATTGTAATGATATTCCCCTTGGAGGGGCTTTAGAAACATCAGCAGGAAGGCAGGAGTACAACGATCATCCTGTATCACGCATCCCAGATTGCTCTCCAACCTCTCAATGATTCCTACATACACCAGCATATTCCCGAACACTCAATATATGCCGCAGTGACAAATAACGTCATAGAAGATTCTGGAATGTTCTGGAAACAATCGATGGAACAATTAGAGAGAGAGGTTTTGTTCTAAGAAGCTTCTAGAACAAAAAGAATGAGACGGAAGATCATTCGAGAACCTTCTCGAACCAAAGCCTGCCAAGTGATCTCATATATAAACGGCCGAACAACTGCTGTCAGGCAGTTAAGCAGCGAGTGTCAGAGAGACAGTTATATACCGCGTGATATAAATCGTTTTACATAAATAGTAGTTATAAGTTCGATATAAATTAGTGTTTCTTTAGCTAAAATAAATCAGTTCGAAGATAAATAGTGTCGTGTTCGCTTCTGCACCCGAATAACGTAACATATTGAAATTTTTTTCACAGTGAGATAAATACCTCGATATTGGAAACTTCCCCATTATTATGGTGCGGGTATATCTAGTGTATTAACAGTTATTTATGTACTATTTCATTGAACTAACTGTACTGTGGACTTCTCTACAGGTTCTTGACGAAGTGTATTCCACTGTTGACATTAGGTGAATGTTAACATGTAGTTTTACAATTGAAACCACTTTTACAAGTTTACCAATAGTATTTTTAATTTTTTTTTTTTCGAAAACACAGATGCTTGAATTTTGAAATGAAAAATTGATTCAAGTGTACTCATGATATTAATGAAAAATCATTGCAGTGTTTATCAGCCATCATATCGTTCTCAAATGTGTCAAGAATGTTCTAGGTTGATCTACCAGAAATGTCGGAATTGTTTTGACAATCAAAAAGTTAAATTAATGATAGCAGATTGATAGTATTGTGGTTTCTCTGTGAGCACTGCCAGCAACAGTCTTATGAATTAAGATGTTTTCTTCATAGTCAATGATGTTCAGTTGCATGTCGACAATGTGATTTACCATTGAATTGTCGTTTACCACAAGTCAGTATTTTTCACCATTACTGAATCAACAATTAAATGTTTTAAATAGCTGCACATCTGAATAGCTTTCTATGTATAACTTTGAGGTAATTTCGAGGTTTCGGTAACTGCTATTTTGTAATGAAATACTTCTGTATCTCAATCATCATTTCGGATATTATTGCAATAAACTTCAATGAGACATTCATGATCATTTCAAAGTCAAATATTTTACCACTCGAATATTTAAGGTTATGTGCATGGCACCGTTGCACAAGCACGGTTCTGAAAACTCGAACTCGAAAAGTTCGCTCTTGAAATTCTCGGTGGGCCATGCAAAACTCGCTCAGTGCCGAAAAAGTTCCAGCTAGTGAGACGACTGGAAAACGCTATAAGGTGTTCTAGAAACCCCAAGAATGTATTCAGATATTTCACGAATGTTCTCGGGTGATTTAGAAAAATTGTTCTAGAACTATTTTGAACCTCACGGTATCAGTTTTCGATACATCCCTCCATCTCATCACTGTTTCAAAAAACTCAGAGCAGTATATTTTGTAATTGTCTGAATTCTCGTGATAGACGGTAGAAAGAAAAAAAACAACCTCTGGGAATGCAGGGTGGTTCAACGAAAACTTTACACCCCAATTTTTCAGGGCTTCCAAATAAAAATCCAGAAAAACGCTCGAACGGCTTATCTGATTTCTTCATCCCCGTAACTTAACCCCCCCCCCTACCAAGGGGAAGCACAACACCTGGATTTTGAATGAGGATGAAATTCCTAATTTTGAAGAAGGAATCATAATCCCCTATCCCTAAAAACTATAGATACCAATTTTGAATAGAGTCGGACCATAATTACAAAACTCGTTCGCCATATTGGATCCACCATATAGAATTTTCCAATTTTCACGAAGGAACCATAATCTCCGATATCGAGAGCCCACCACCAATTTTGTATAGAATCGGATCGAAATCACAAAATCCGTCATATTGGATCTGCCATCTTGAATTTTCTAGTTTTGACGAAGGAATCATAGTCCCCGATCACGAACTACTCATACCAAATACCTTGATATTTGGATTGATGAAATGTTAATATGGGACAAGCATATTGGCATGCTCGAAGAAAAACTGGTGCCCTAAGAAGATGTCCAAAACTTATCCCA